GCTACTCATTTCCATAAGGGCTCTTTATTTTGCTCACTTGTCTCTGTAATAAAGTTTCTAGTTGAGAAAAATGGGTACTTATGGAAAGGTTATCATGCCTGTGATGTCAATTTTTTATAGCCAACTCTGATATTCTTTTCTTTTGGTTTTCTGAACTCAGAATTTCTTAATTTTTAATTTAGCTGAAAATGCCAGTGGGTACTCTTCACCCCTTGCCCACCTCACATTTGATCCCTGGTTCTCTCTGCCATATACCTTATCTCTTCAGTCATAATTTCCATTACATAATTTCCATTCTGTGTTGTAAGATAATTCATCTCTTTGCTCTTTTCAGAGCAATAATTCAATTCTCAGTAGTGAATATTCTTTTTTGTTTTTCAATTTTTCAATCAGAAGTCATTATATTTTTTACTTCTGGTAAGTCATTTTTGTGCCCCAATTATATCCTCTTGAGGATTCTCCTTATTTTATTCATTAAAGCGCTGCTCTGTCTCTCCCACTCAAGCGACTGCGGTCAGAGACAACTGTACTATTTGTTCAGCTGGGTTCCCTGCCTCAAGTCCCTGAGTCCCTTTAAATATATGGTGACAACAGCACCCTCACAGTTCAGACTTTGGGCAAATAAAACAAGTGAGTGGTCGATGACAGAACATGTTTTTTCTCATCCTGTCCACTGAGCCCAAGTGTTCCAGTGAGGCCTCCTGGATGTGGACATGTCCAGCCACACAAGTTGCGGGTGATTTGTGTAGTTAAATAGAACCAAATCGACTATTATTTTGAAAAAAAGAAGTGTCTTTTCCTTATGGTTTAGAAATCAGAGAGCAAGTAAATGGTTAAATGTGAAGGTTCACTAATCACATCTAGTATTTATGGTATATGACTGTCAAAAATGATGAAGATGCACACCATTGAATCATATGCTTATCTGACTGAGAGAGGTGTGGACACTGATGGGAGAATCACATTAGGTAGATTCCTCAATTGTTTTAAAAGAAAATTTCAAAGAACTTGATCAGCTGAGCGTCCTAGAAGATGCAACTTTGCCCATCAAGCTCAACCCCAGTCTTACTTCAAGCAGGGTTGATTGACCCATGAATGGGTAGATACATAATGGGGCCATGTTAAGCAGGTAAATGAGCAGGGAAGATAATGTGCAAGAAAAATTAATAATGAAACAGATATGAAAGATATTGAGACAGAGAGGTTGAGAGAGAATGAAAACTAACTATCTTTCTTCTTGTTGGATTTATAGTTTGTAATTCCGGTTACTCATGAGATCTTGCTCTAGTTCCAGCCCTTGAATTTCAAGCTTTTTTAATATATTTCATTTATACAATGTATTTTCTTTATATAAGCTAGCTTGAGTATATTTCTATTTCTTGCAACCAATCTCAAACTAAGACCCAAACCCAAGTTAAATTTACAATAATCTGATCAATTTTACCATGTCTTTCTTTCTGACTTCTCTCCTGAGCTTCAGGCTCAAATAGCCAACAGTCTATCGGAAATCTTCATCATATATCTAAAATCATCTCAGACTTAACTGTGTGCAACATAATTCTCATTTTCTTTATGTTTTTCATATAAGCATATTCATCTACCAGTTTTCACAGTAAACGCACTAAAATTTACCCATGTGCTCAGGTCAAAAACCTAGTTGTCATTTCAACTCTTCTGTTTTACCCACATACTGTACCACATCTGACTTACCAATATGAGACACATTACTATTTTTCATCAACATCCAGTTCTCTCTATTCTGAACATGTGAGAGAATTGCATTTCCTTGTCTCCTGGGTACCTTGCTCTGGACAATGAAATGTCCAGAAGGAAAATGTGCAGAGGGAAAGTTATGTGTGTCATTCTTTCTTAGAAGCATTTAAGAGCTGTTACTTGATTGTCTATCTTTTCTTGTCACGTGATCGATGATACTTCACATGGTAGAGCATCTGTCAGCCTGGTTCCTGACTCACCCAGAGCCCTCGACTGACTCAAGATATACAAATAGTGTGTGCAAAAATAAACCTTTGCTATTTTATGGCACTGAGATTTGGAAGTTGTTTGCAACTGCAGCATAAGCTAGCCTATCCTAACTGATAACAATCCTCAAGTCCTGTTGGCTCTATTGTCAAATTATATTCCAAACTTGAGGCTGTTACCTCCTTTCCCACCATCATTGTTTTCCAAAGAACCTTCATCTCTTGCCTGGATTTACTGCAGGAGCCTCTCAATAGGTCTTCTTTTTTTCTACTCTGACATCTCTAAACTCCATTCTCCATGCAGCAGTAAAACTTTATTATTATTTTAAAGGTGAATCTGATCATCATGCCACTCCCTCTCCCAAACCCTCAACTTCTCATTAAACTTAGAAGAAAAATCAAAATCTCTCCATGAACCACAACACTCTATGATCTGACCTCTGCCTATTTGTCTCCTGCCATTGTTTTCTCTCTCTGCTCCAACCACATTGTCTCTCTTATCGTTGCTTGCAAACAGTAAACTCATTCTCCCCTCAGGGTTTTTCTCTTGCTGTTCCTTCTGTGTAGACTGTTCTACCTCAAGATATCTGTGGCTTGGCTTGATCCCCCCTCATACAAATCTTTGTCCCAAGATTACAGAACAGTATCTACAGTATCTGAAACGACATCCCCCGATAACTGACTATCCAACTACCCTTTTTGATTTTGTAAAGTACTCTTTGATTTATCTCATTTCTTTATTTGTTTAATTCATTTCTCTCTTCCTAGACTATGAACATGATAAGAAAAGGATTTTGGTTTTTGATCTTCTGTCTCTGGTATCTAGAAAAGTGTCTGGTGCTTAGTGGAATTCAATAAATATTTAAGTGAGTGAATTGAAGAATAAATAGCTTAAACAATCAGAATGTCAAAACAATATTGCAATGAAGAGATAACTGAATAAGAAGTAATACTCTTTCATAAGTTCTTAACCTAGTTTGTTTTTTAACAGCAAAAATAAATAAAAATACTGCTATAAAATCAATTTATATAGCTTTTATGCCCTACCACTTATAATTCATTTATTAAGTAAAACCTCACTTGTTCAAATTAGCTTGTTTAAATTAGCCAATGCACATTAAAACAAGTAGCCTTTTAAAAGAGAATCAGCACAGGATATGTTTAAAGCTGCAATGGCAATAACTAAGTTGTGTTCCTCAATCCAAAATATCTAAATTTTCTACAATGGGCCCAAGAAACGAGAAAGACAAAAATATGAAAGCAAAATAAGGACTCAATAGAGTAGGCTAGTAAGGAAATTGGAGAAAAACTATTAAGTGGGAAACACTAAGCTAACAAATTTCTATGGAAAATAATTTTTCTGAATAGTTTAACTAGAAGAGAATCCATCAGTAGAATTCACCAATGAGCTGTAAATGCAACATCTCCTTGATGATTTGTGTGGTTATGTGTATTTCCATCACATGCCAAGGTGACACATCTGAACTTCCATCAGTGGGGAATACCCTTGGATTATTGCTTTAGTGAAAATGATGGATTTGCACCAATACACTAGCTCAGTTATCAACTTTTACTCCTGAAATACTCTACATTTTTGCAAAGCAGATGGTCCAGATGAAGAGCATTTACTATGATCAAAAGATATATTGAAGACACCAGCTTTCAAAAGGACTGAAGTTCTCTCCCTGGCTCCAGAGCATTCCAAGGAGGAATGGCTGTTGGAGTCAGGAGAGCTGAGTCAGAGTCTTGGCCCTGCGAATTTGAAGTTTTGAGTATGTCATTTAACCTTTTGATATTGGATGAGGATAAGGATAACAATCTCTATCCCAGATGTCTCATAAGATTTTTTTATGACAATAAATAATACATGTCAAAGACATGTTTTGTAAACTGGCTATTTTAGGTTTTTTATTATTATTCTGCTTCTTTGAGGTTGTTAAAGGTATCCTTTAAATTGAAGTTGTCATACGCAATGTATACCTTTCAAAGTAAGAGGGAAAGAAAGAGCAAGCACCAAAATGGTTATGTTTGGCCACGTGGTCTTTACTTCTACTTGAGATTAACAATGTTCATATCCACCTAAGAAATGTTGAAATTATAGTAATTAGCAGCAAAAGACACTTTAAACACACAAAGGCACCAAGAGCCATCTCTCATTAGGAAACTCCCATAGCCTATTTGCATACACAAATATTTCCAAATAATCCATATCCTACCCAAGGAGAAAGCTAAATTCCTGGTCAGTCACAAAATGGAATAAAATTCTTTTTAGCACCCATGTGAATATCAGAGGAGAAAAACAAAGTGGAAAAAGGCACAAGATTGTGCATTATATGAAACCTATTTGCTGTTATAGTGTATAAATTGCCAAACCTCTGAAATCTAAGTCTCCAGTTATTGTATTGCTTTCTTTGCTTGAGTAATTCTCCTATTTATCATTAAACATATCCCGAAGATCTTATTAAATAAGCAGAATAAGAGGCATGATGAATACTCTGATAGAAGCATTTAGTTTCATTAAAAATCCTGATCATGACGATTTAGCTATCAATTATTTAAGCCCACTCCAATCTCACACTCAGTGATTAGTAATAAATAAAGAGAGCTCAGGATATGAAAAAATTACTGTACACCAGGAATCCTCTGTCAACAAAGATAACACGTTTTTAAGAAAAATACCATAGGATGATCCTTTATTCTTAATCTTAATGAAATCCATCCTGTTCTCTCTTTTACACAGAAAACCCATACTGTCTAAAGATGTAAAAATGAGACCATGGTTAAATGAATCTGATCATTCTGCCCATCTTTATCACCAAAACCAATCAATATAATCCCTTCAGTCAATTCATTACAGGAAAATATTTAATCATCCATGTAATCCAAATGAAGCAGGGTCAGCTATCTTTGGCTCAAGGACTGGTCTACTTGATATTTATAGAATAAATTTATCTGTTTTTCTGAAATAGAGGATCAAATTATACCATCTCAAATGTTCCCTGATTGTGTTGTTTCCCCTACCTCATGGTGATTCTTGGCCAGCCATTCCTTAATGGTGCTGAGGGCAATGACTGCAGCAGGCTCATTCGGGAAACCTAGATGAAGAGCAGAATAAAACAAATTAATAAAAGCAGAAGAAGGCCATAGAGAAGTCAATCATGGAAAGACACTGGATTTTTCTCATTTAAACAGTATGCAATTCAACCAATTAGTACTGAGCAAGGCAGGCCTTAGTAAGGTATACATGGATGTGAAGCCTGTGATCCTACATGTAAGGCATTAAGGGGGCTGATCCTACACCAGTCTAGAGCTAAAAAGCAATAAAGGATTTAAACATTTCTTCAATTCTACAACAACATAAATTAAAAATATATTTACATTTGCTTCATAGCTTCCAAAGCACTTTCATATAATTTTCTTATAAGAAGTGCTCAGATTAAGGTTTATTACCCTCAATTTACAAGACAAGTAAATATGGCTCAGAGAAAACATATGGCTGACCCAGGGTCACAAGCCCAGCAGTACTCCACCAAGGAACTGACACAAGGCAGAGCAAACAACTTGCCATATCACTGAAAGCTATTGTCAGAATTCAAAGAAGGTAACGCCTTCTCCGTTTAGGGCTATCTGAGATGATGTTTGAGATTAACACAACATGAACTGATCTGATTTTGTAGGATGGGTTGGTTTTAGAAGGGCAGCAACAATGACACACTTGTACTATGTCCCAATGAACATGAGCACACATAATCAGAATGTCTAAATCTCATCCTGAATGTCCCTTTAGCTTATATAAACTAAACACATTCCTGAACTTGCAGAATCATCAGACATTCTGCCAATAGAGATTAAAAATATGTGAAGGAATAACCTCATAAGTTATATATGGGGCAGAAAGAAGAGATGGGAGTGACTATTCTATTGAAACTACTCTCTTTAAGCTCATCACTGGCTTCCTAATCACCAAATCCATAGCCTTTCAATCAGTCTTCATCTTCTCCAGAATTAGATATGCTTGACTAGTTTTTCATATTTCAATATGTCTTCCCTCCTGGATTTTCTTTTTTTTAAGCCTATTTTTTATTGTTTTAAAGTATACAATTCAGTGGTTTTTCACATGTCCACAAAGTTGTGCGACCATCACCTTTAATTCCAGAATATTTTCATTATCTCCAAAAGAAACTCTTACCCATTCACAGTCACTCCCCAGCACCCAGCCCCTGGCAACCATTAATTTACTTTCTGTCTCTACGGATTTGCGGATTCTCCTCCTGGATTCTGCAATACTGCTTTGTTCCATGTCTCCTCCTACCTCTTTGATCTCCCCTGGCTCCTTTTTCTAGAAACATGCATTAAATGTATACCATTCCCAGCATCCTAAACTTAGCCCTCTTTTCCCTCTATACCCTCTGCTTTAACCAGCAGCAGAATCATCCATCAACACGTCTATGAGGATGTCGTCTTGTCAGAGAGGCTCCTTTGACACTGTCCATGTAGATTCAGGAGAGAGGTGTTGCTGTCATGGAGAGATCCAAGATTTAAAAGACCCAGTTTTATTGGAAGGCCAATACATCTTCCAGTAGTTCATACTAATGGTTCAAATCTCAGTAAAACTTCAAAGAAAATGTGTGAGAGAAGAGGAGTAAGAAAGAGGAGGTGTTTGCCCCCATTTTCAAGAATAAATGTTGCTTTTCTGATTGGGTTTCTACCCGCTTTGTTAAGAGAGTGCATTAAGAAGGGGGACAAAATAAAGCAGGGCCGAGCTCCATTTATTTTTGTTTATAAGCCAGAGAGAACCACTGTCATAGGAAAAATGTGCACAAGTTCTCTAAACTTTGTAAATTCATTTACAACATTTGGGATTATGAATTTGTTTTGAATTGTTTCATCCCATTCATTCCCTTAAATGAAGGCTCCAAAATGTAAAACCATTAAAATTAGCAAAACTTGTTAATTAATTAATTACCAATTAGCTAATTCATTAAACAAATTCTTATTGAACTAGAAAAGAGTATATATATATATGCACTTTTAATGAGTCCTTGTCCTCTAAAGCCCAAAGCCTGGAGGAGAAAATAGACAAGAGGCAACCGCATTGCAGCACGACAAGCGCATGAGGGTTGTGGGGATACAAATGAAGAGAACTAAGCAAGAAAGGGGAGGCTTTCTAGGAAATGATAGAATGTTTGGGGAGAGGGACTATAATGTGGGGAGCTGAGGAGACATTGTCCTCATAAGTAAGCTGTGAGCGGCAAGGAGTTAACGGAGAAGGTGAGGGAAAGTGAAGGAGGGAAGAAAGCAGGAGTCCCTGTGGGCTGTAAAGAAAAAGAAGGAGGCCAGGATGGGCATTTGTGGTTCTAGGTTAAACACAGAAGGCTTTTTCAGGCCACCTCTTCCCTGAGTTTAGCACCTACATTTGTAGTCACCTGGATATCTCCCCTTGATGTGCTCCAGAACCAGAAATAATGTGTATTCTTCCACTAAGTGAAACTCTTTCCTGATTTTCTGGTTTCTGCCTATGGCTTTATTTCTCTCCTAGTCACCACCATATGTGACTGCTTTCCTTGCTGGTAACTGAGTCCTAAAGACATTGTCCCTCTGAAATATTTTACACCACCCCTTCCTTTCCTTCTTTTCCCATTGATCTCATTTAAGGTCTGATGAGCCCTCACCCTGACACCTGCAGTCAACTCATAATTGTGCTCCTTTGGTCTTCTCCTCTTCTACAATCTATCCAGCACAGCACTTCCAAGTGATTCTTCCTAAAGTATAGTTATCATCACACCACATCCTTACACAAAACAATGGCAGCCTTTGCTGACTCTTCAGCTCCTACACAATAAACTTTAGCACCTTAACTTGGCATTACACACCCCAAGAGGCCTTTCTAGACTTGTATCTTAGTTTCCCCTATTTATTCTCTTCCCACAAAATTCTTCTCCAACTTTTTGATATGTTTAAGAAGTACTTAAATCATAAATTTATAGGGCTATATAAAGCTAATAAATACTGTAATCACGCTCAGTTGCAATGGCCATCAGCATTAACCTTTAGAAGACGTAATTCCCCCTGGAGAAGTTATACAAGTTCTTATAGAACCATGGCAACTACAGTCAGTTCTCAATTATTTGTGACCTCCTGGTCACTTTCCCACACTCATCAAAGACTCTGGCACTGAGTTACGGTTTTCATTTCCACCTCAGCGCTTGCCATAACCCTGGATGATTTTAACATCCAAGAGGAGGACCCACCCAGCACCTGGCCTGCCAGTTTCTTGAACTGCTCATTTTTGACAACAATCTCCATTCCTCCTTCTCCCTAGATTACACCCGGGACCTTGATGTAACGTTTCCATTTGAAAATTACTAATTTAAGCAATTCTCTCTCAAAACATTTTCTCTCTTTAGTTTGTTTGTTCAGCTACTTTCCAAGGAATGTCCCTCACAAACATTTAAGCCTACTCTGTCCTCAAGCCACTCCCCAAATTAATGCAAACATTTCTCCCCTGAATAGGCTGACTCTTTCTTGTCTCTTTAGGCTCGTCTCACACCGTATCATTCTTTGCTTTCTCCACTCCAGCCACACTGGCCTTCTTTCTGTTCTTTGAGTGTGGCATGCTCTCTTTTGCCTTCCTGTCATAAGGCCTTGCTCACGCTGTTTCCTCTTTCTGAAATGACATTTCTCTCCTCTTTTCCTAACTTATTTTAACTTTTATTTGTCTTTTTCTCAGTGACCAATTCTCCAAGGAAGGCTTCTCTGACACTGTTGACTCCCTATTTTGTGCTTTCATAACACCATGTAGCTTTCCCTTGCAGCACTCATCATAGTTGCAATTTTATACTTATTTATGTAAATGTTTGATTAATCTTAATAGAGTGAAAGCCCTAAAGAGGCAGATACCACATCTGTTTTTGTTTAGCACTGTATCCCAAAAACACTGCTGCCACAGAGGAGATGATCAATAAATATGGGTTGAATGAATGAATGGATTGTAGACTTGTGAATCTTTGTATTGACAGTAAGAAAAGGCTAACTACTGGGAGAACAAGGGTGTTTAGCCCTAGAATATGGGGAAGGTGAAGAGATTCTGAGAAGATGTGCAAATAGAAGGATATATCCACATTATCGTATTTCATTCCTGAGGAAAAATTATTGAGAAGATGTATACGAGAAAACGTAGCTCCTGGTGGGAAGATATGCTGTAATTAACTAAAAGGGGGAAAAAAATCAAGACAAATTTCCCTGAAAGTACATCTGCTTTCAGTGGGCATATATTTACAAGATAAACTATGATGTTCAGAGTAAACAGCAACGGCACAATCCTTTGTCCACTAAACTGCTAGACCCCAAGGGTTATAAGTAAGACCAATAAATACACAAGGATAGATTTTTGCCCAGCGATGGGCTCCTGATGACAGTAAGGTCTGCTTCAGAAGATCACAACCGTATTCTGGTCACCAGGGGACTTTTGTTCACAAAAGCAGAATGGCTACCCAGAGGGAAGGCTGCAGACAAGCTTCAGATCAATCATTGAATTAGATGGTATAGAAAATCTCTTCCAAGTATGAGGGTCAATGAGGCTGAACAAGCCATTAACAATTTAGGGCCAGGCATGCAGGAAGCTGTGTGTGTGTGCCCAGGTGTGCACAGAATCTGTTCTTCTGCTAGCATTCCAAAGCTTAGCTCCTTATTCATTAGGATGGATTATTAAAATTAACTTTTGTTGTAAATGTCAAAGTTGACTTACACAACACATAAATGATTTTTTCTTTTTGTTTACATTTGTATTTAAATTGCTTGCTGAATTTTTACATATATACATACATGTAACAATTACCTAAATCAAGATATAAAACATTTCCAATACCCCAGAAAGCTGCCTTGTCCCAAGTCAATATCTACCCCCGATGTAACTGCTATTCTCTCTTCTATTATCATAGGTCAGTTTTGCCCGTTTTTACACTACATATACATGAATATACAATGTGCACTCTGTTTTGTCTATATTTTGCTCAACATTATGCCTGCCTGATTTATCCATGTTATTACATACAGCAGCAGCTCATTCTTTTTCATTGTAGTGTTGCATTCCATT